GTTTAGGTAAGACACCCAACTTGACAATGCCTCTGTAGTTCTCAACGAGTTGTCTACTTTCACTTTTGTGAATAGGAATAAGGAAACTGCCCTTCCAACACAAATGGAAAACACCTAAATTCAAGGGCGGGTTAAAAATCTTTGAGATAACGCCACATGGCTCGGGAGCGCATGATTTAAGCACACATTATGGAATTCCATCAGGTCCAGGCACACAACTATACTTGAGAAAGCTCAACCCCTCTAAAACATCATTTTCTAAAATGATCACATTAGTTATTGAAACCAAATTATGTGGAATATGGGTAGTTTATAGTTAAATCGGAATTATCGGAATCGGTTTAACTTTCATTTAAACGCTCGTCGAACAACTAATATAGTAGCATTAATTACAATTAATAGTAATGTTTTAATTATCTGTATGACGCATAGTTTTAATTGACTTTAACTAATAACTAGTGAGAGGATTATATTTAGCTAGAGCGTTGTCTCTCATAAATAGGAACTTAAAAGAAGAAGAAGAAAGTAGGAAAACGAAATTTGAATACTCTATAATATTGGATGGACCTGGCCGATTATTTCCCTACTACAGATACTGAGGGGTCGCACATAAAATAACAGGCGCTTGCATGTGTTTTTTTTTTATCAGGAAATAAGACGTACCACAACCGCGCTAACATCCCAATGCTAAGTAACTAGCGAATCTCATTAGTAGCCGCGAAGGTTAAAAGCGTAAGTTTATAAGTGAGATAAGATCATCTAAATTGTCGCAACTTCCTAGGCAGGAAATTATATGCCAAAGAGCACGTAACTGGAGCAATCAGTAGAAAGTTATTGCGAACTGACCTACTAAAGAAAAGAGATTAAGGAGCTCCTTCGCCACCTGCCGTAGGATAATGTAGAAGCTAAGGAGAAGTCCAATTTTAACAAAATTAACCAAAGAGAGAATACATATCTAACTATATGATTACATAGTAGTCTTAATATTCTCAAATTTAAAGTATTCATTAAACTAGGGAAGGACTTATAAATGGCATAATTAAAGTACGCTCAAAATTGCACTTCCGAAATTCGTCACTTTTGTTCCCCATCAAATACTTTTAGAAGTTTAGCTATATGCTGCTTCATCTTATCCCGCTTGGCGATTTTGATTTCAAAGAGTAGCCTAAAGGTTGTCGTAGACAATGAATGCAAGATTTATTTGGCGAAAACCCGGTACGAACTTTCGAACAGTTTAGCAGTTGAGGTGCGAGGCGAAAGATACAAAAGGAGAGCAAATGGCTACGATACGAATTGACTGAAAACGGCATTTCGAACCGTTTCAACATCACCGTTTCGTTGCTTGCCAGGCAAATAGTAATTCCCTATGTGACTGACAATGTGAAGTACAGACAATCCTAAGCGCAAAAAGTTATGGGTTAATAGAGGACATCAATCCGCATCGACAACCGAAGTGGAATATTCACGGGGTTTGGTGTGTGCTTGGTGTGGTGAGCAAAGTACAGTGTATTACGAGCTGGTAAAACCCAACGAAGCTATTTCTGCAGATGTCTGCCAACGTTAACTGAACAATTTGAATGATGTATTGTTGCAAAAAAAAAATTAGCAATAGCGGTTAACAGACGCAAAGTGAAACTCTTCTGTGAAAACGTTCGTATATCGAGTTTTTAGTAAAAATTCCATACAGCAGGATGAAACACTTGGCTTAGAAACATAAACAAAATAAAAATGTTGCGGGGAGAATTTTTATGAGATTTTGTTTATTATCATAGAATTTTTTTCATTTCCGTCGAAACGCCTTCACGTTTTTTTCATTTCCGTCGAAACGCTTGCAGCTTTTTTTCATTTTCATCGAAACGCCTGCAGCTTTTTTTCATTTTCATCGAAACGCCTTCACTTTTTTTTCATTTCCATTGAAACGCTCGCAGCTTTTGTTTAAATACGCATCGTTTCTTGAAAGATGTGTAGCTTTTGTTGATTTTCGTAGAAAGCTGTGCGTTTATTGTTTGCTTTCATAGAAAGATGCTTTTTTTTATTTTCATTCATTTCGCATTAACATCATAAATTTCACATTTATTAAAAACAGCGTTGTGCTCTCTCTATTCTGAACATATGCTACTTTTTATAAACCATGTGAAGGGGAAAATAAGTTAAATTCAAATTCATCTTAGAAGTGCACATAGAAGTGCACATCGAGTGAAAAATTGAGAAAAATTAAACAATTAAAACAAGCCCAAAAGACTATGAGTATATTTAGTTTTGTTTCCATTATTTTATTAGGGCATCTGCATATCCAAAAGAAATTTGTCTCAACAAAAAATTTAAAAAAAGAAATTGTTTCACCACTTTATTGGCGGTAAGTGCATTTATTTTCTTGTGCTTACATTTTCATAAATTTCTCGCATTATTACATTTTTTATTGTATTACTTCCATACCGTAGAAATAATATTGGTGGGTTTTTTTTACATCAAAATAAAAAGTATACGTATGCAATACAATAAAGAAAAGTATCCGTTAGGTTGCATTGTTCTTGCACATGCACAAAAATAACGGCGAATAGTAATTAACATGGCGCTAATATCAATATATTATTATTATTATTGTCATTAATTTCGCCAGAGAAATAAATTCTAAGACTAAACTCTTAAAAGCACTAGCATCAAAGGCTATCGGCTTTTATTAAAAACTCTACCGCACTTGAGATTCGAACCCACGACCATTGACTTGCTAATTTTTAAAAAGCTGACCCGAATATATATGTTTTTCAGTGAATTCGTTTTTATAGTTCCTAAATAAACGTTCATTTATGATGGTACTGTGCTTATCACAAAAGAAAATATGATTTTTTCCACAACTCATATGTAAATTTCTAGACAAAATTTATAATTCTAATTATAAACAGCAACACAAAGTACAAAGGGCACTTGTGGTTGCCATAAATCCCTGAAAAGATTTGTTTAGCTTAAGCCATGTTAATAATGTTATAATTTTGAGTCAACCTATGCAATAGGAAGCGAACAAATTCATTAATTTGCTATATTTTAACGCGTGTGGAGAAATAGTCCTTTCTTAAAATATACGCATTAAAAGCGAAGCTATTAAATAAAAAATTTCTGATAATAACAATGCGAATTAATGGACATTGATATTGAATTATGCTTAGAAAATTAACAGCTGCTAGGCTAGACAAAGGAATTTAAGTTGTTGGTGGATAAATGTGATTCTAGAAAAAAGGGTGTGAAAAACTACATTCTATAAAGCATTGTAGTTTCATGCATAGTGAAAAGGCAAGAGAAAAAAAAGTATCAGACAGTGCCATAAAAATACACGGAAGCATTTTTAGGAAAGAAAATTACGAAATAAAAATTTTTTGGCATTTTATAAGAAAAAAAAAGCAACTTTGAAAATTTCATTAAAAATTGTGTAAAAAAGTCTGTTATAAACAAAAGAAAAAATATGTCAACACAACCAGATTCGTTGTACGACCGGAGAATTCGTTGTACGACCAGAGAATTCGTTGTACGACCAGAAAAGTTTGTTGTA